AAAATATTCAAACTTTACGATAGTGGTGTCAGTTGCTAGATTGCTGCACTAGTGTTTCCAAATCCCGCAATATAAAAGGCAGCCCTCGTAGTATAATCCTGTTTTGTTTCAGTTCAACTTACCAGAATACTCTTATCTGCTGGCGCTTCCCACCACAGGGTAGCCGTCGTGGCTGTCGTCCGTACACGTACATTCTCCGGCTTATCGGGAACTCGGGATTCTGAATAGAGTGGTTGGATTAAATCGAATTACAGTAATCGCGAATAGACATAAAGAAAGATTTTGAACTAAAAAGAAAACAGAGGAAAAGGATGCTGAAATTTCAGTAAAAAGCATTATGGAACGAGATGAGGTAAAGGAAAGTATGGTCACTGCGAGGGGGTCGGTAGTCAAATCACAAGTCGAAACCAACCTAATGCAACCATCCCTCAGCCATCAGTAGATACCAGACCTATTTGGATAATAAAAGCAAGGCCAACTATGGTAATGGTTTTGTAAAATAGGACAGCATACTTGAACAGACAAATAAGTAAGCTACCACATTGGCAGCTCCATCAATTCACTGTGTATCTCAAAGCTTTAGCCAGTCTTTGTCAAATTCAGACGGATATAGCCTCCGGAGATGGTGAGTTGGACAGTATACCCAAAGAGTTGTTCGTCAGAACTTCGGTGACTACTGTAGGGACAAAAACCCTGAAGCTAATGAACCCTTTTTGTAAGACTGCAGTACTGCACTGAACCGTTCTAGAACAGGTACTTGGAGATAATAGAAAGTGAATATCTCTGAAAGGCCAAGGAGTGCAGTTGGCTATGAGAAAGTAAAGATTTGGTTGGGAGATTGAGAGGAAAATGAACATGGAGAAGGAACAGTTGTTGAGCCCGAGGCAACCGAAGCCACCCCGCCACAGGCATTTGATGACAATGATTGACCCAAATTGACTGAGCTGGCAGTCAAACAGCTCACTCTCCCTCAATCGGTCATCATGGTCCAGCCGTAAGTCCATTTTTTTTAAATGCCCTGAAACTAACTGGTCCTTCGAGGGTTCAGAAGTGATGCTGCCTTAGGACGAAGCCTCCGATTGCAGTCAGGTTCCACGTTTTTCTATCAAACAGGGGAATGAATTTTCTGTAGAGGTTTCGAGAATGTTCCTTGATCTATCACGTTATATCATCAGCCAATTCGAGCCCTTTCATGCCGTTCCTCACAAAGCGTCTCTATGAAAGTGTATGTATCAAATACCTCTAATGAATGTGTAGACCCAACACGCATCAATACTATTCCGCGATTTTGGGTATGAGCCGGATGCGTGGCTTACTCGGACTCTCGTAGGCCCTTCTGAGGTCAGATATCACAACAAAAAATTCTATTACGAGAGGTTTTGATAGTGTCTACGTCATTCGAGGGAATTACTTAATGGTTACCTTCAAGAAGGTAACTAACCAGTATGTAATACGAGAAGGATACAAATAGAAAGTTTGGGTCTCTGTTATTTGAAATCAGGTATCAAGGAATCAATCAGTAATCATTAAAATACAAAGTAATATTAAGCAGTGCATAAATCCTACGAGAGTAATCGATCTTTGTTCGAAACCAAGACAAGCCAAAATTTTTTTAGGGTGCGCCATGCATTCGGCTCGCATTCTGAGTTGTGGAAACCCAATGACTAGTGAATCGGAAAGACCTATGGAAATGTTTTCGCAAAATTGACGCCGTCGTATGGAAAGGCAGACTAATGGTAAGCTAACTCTATGGCTTTTTTTACTCTTGAACTTCTCCTACATCTTACATTCTCCTTCTAACTATCAAGTAGGTTCCTTCCTACTAGGAGAATCTTCCTTCCCATTGAGCATCCCGATTCCAAGACACCCATACTTCTGAATGGATAGAGTTCCATTTTCCCCCAATCTCTTTCTATTGGAAATTACTGATTTGGAGATTTGACAAGGAAAACATGTTGCTATGGGTTGTGACATGGAGGGAGATGTCGTTGATGAACGAGACTGTGGTCGAATGCTGAAGACGTCAGCTAATCTCGGTGGTCAAGTAATTACAGCGTATTAAATGGGTGGTATGACCCGTAAAAGATACGCTGCCCAGGTAGGGGCGCCTATAAATGCAGCCGCCCCAGTCATCTGCTCGTTCATTCCTGAACATATACTAAAATTGGAACAATACAGAGAAGATTAGCATGGCCCCTG